CTGATGGTTCGCAGCGTCCCTTAGGTCTAACAGGACACTGAAGTTTGCGTGTCTCCTAATTTCATCTCATTTTGCAGTGAGGTAGGGCTTGAGTACAGCACAGGCTGCCTTCATTAACGGCTTTAGCATATTATAATCCACAATTGCCGATATGGGAACATTAAGAGGGACGTGCTCATGCACGGCCTGGATACAGGCACCTTTTGTAATAGCTGTGGAAAGTTCATTTGGGGATTTAATAGGTATTACTAGAGGTTCCTCCTCTCACCAGTACACCAATTCCACCAGCCCAGTAGCCCACTCTACTTGTTGTTGACTAGGGATCATTTGGAGGTTCGGAGCCAGTGTTCAAAAAGACACCAGGGCCCCAAAATCCATTGTCTTCATCGCCGTTTCATAAAATTCTGTCTCCCCCAGTTAGATCTACCCCTCCATAAACATTCAGTTTCTCCTGGCTTACAGCCACAGCGTTCTTGCAGGTTTGCCATTTGAATTGGATCAAAAGGGGTTGTTTTTCAGGTACAAATGCCACCTTGAGGCCCACTAGTTTCTTCTGAATTTATAATGGACCTGGCTACAACATGTAGGGGAATTTAGAGGAGGTAAAGAATAATTTTTCCCTGATTTGTTATCATCAGGGTCACCCCATACATTTCCATCCCATTCCTCAGAAGATAGAATTAATTTCTGAATTTATACAATGCCAGGGGGTTGGGAGCTTGCATAAGCATCATCTCAACCTTTTGGTTTTAGAATCATAGAATGTTTTGGGTTGGAAGGGACCCCTAGAGGTCACCCAGTCCAAGCCTCCTGCAGGGAACAGGGACACCTTGAACCAGATCAGGTTGCTAAAAAGATTGTCCCCATCTTTCCTAGAGGCTCCCTTTAAGCAATGAACGGCCGCAATCAGGTCTGCCCACAGCCTTCTCTTCTCCAGGCTGAACACCCACAACTCTCCCAGCCTGGCCTCATAGCAGAGGGGGTCCAGCCCTCAGATCATTTTAGTAGCCCTCCTCTGGCCCCGCTCCAACAGGTCCATGTCCTTCTTGTGCCGAGGGCTCCAGAGCTGGATGCAGAGCTCCAGGTGAGCACTCAGCAGAGCAGAGAAGAGGGGCAGAACCCCCTCCCTCAACCTGCTGGCCACAGCCTTTCTATAGCTGTTCAGTTTGCAGGGGCAGTGTTAATTTGGTTGCCTTTCTGCCTCCTACTTCACCCTTTAGGTCCCGCTCCCTCTTTGTAAGCTTTTTCCAATCTTTGCAGGCAGCTTCCAGGCAGGTGCCCAGCATTTTGCAAATGTCTCCCTTTCCTTGACCATTGTCAATTTTCCCCCTGGCTACCTTTAGCTGTTTTCCACAGCTTCCCAGTCATGCCAGTTCTCACAGGCCCATTCTTCTGAGTATTTGGGAGCCAGACTAATTCCATGCTTACGTAAGTGATTAGTGATACTGCTTGCCATTGTGCCGACTATGCCAATTTGTCACAAATGTACTGGGGTCACAACAACCCCTTGCACCACTACAGGAGTGGGGAAGACTGGCTAGAAAGCTTCCTGGTGGAAAAAGACCTGGGGTTGTTGGTCAACAGGCGGCTGAATATGAGCCAGCAGTGTGCTCAGGTGGCCAAGAGGGCCAGGGGCATCCTGGCTTTTATCAGGAGTGGTGTGGCCAGCAGGAGCAGGGCAACGAGTGAGTCTGTCCCTTGAATGCTGGGTTCAGGGTTGGGCCCTCACTACAAGAAAGACGTAGTGTTGTTGGAACACATCCAGAGAAAGGCAAGGAAGCTGGGGAGGGGTCTGGAGCCCCAGGCTGCTGGGGAGCATCTGGGGGAGCTGGGGGTGTTCAGCCTGGAGAAGGGGAGGCTGAGGGGAGCCCTTATCACCCTCTACAACTGCCTGAGAGGAGGCTATAGCGAAGTTGGTGTTGATCTCTTCTCCCTGGTAACGAGTGATAGGATGGGCATTGAAGAAATGGCCTCAAATTGTGCCAGGGCAGGTTGAGATTGGACGTCAGGAAAAAAATTTTTCACAGAAAGTGCTGTCAAGCACTGGAAGGGGCTGCCCAGGGAAGGGGTCGAGTCTCTATGCCTGGAGGGATTTCAAAGCTGGGCCGATACGGTGCTTAGGGACAGGGTTTGGTGGTGGGATGGCAGGCTTAGGGAAACGGTTGGGCTAAATGATTCCGTGATTCTAAGATTCTATGATTTAGGATCTTGCTGACTAATTGTGTGATTTTACAGATTTGATTTAGTACTAGTTTAAGATTTATTGGTGGAAAATGGCAGGATTTGATTGTGATATTTCAATAGAACTCTATCATCAGTCAAATAGCAAAGTGATTTGATCAAATTAGTTAGAACTGTGACTTAGTTAAATATTTGAAGATGGCAACGTTCACTCTCTTACTACATGGAATATGTACACAAAGGAAAAGTTACACTTGAGCTAGAATGATTGACAGAGAGATCATGGGTGCAGAGGATAAGGAGGACCCTCATGTTGAGTCACGAGGCTCTGAATAGACCCCCTTGCTTTCTGAACTCCTTCTCAGAGAGGAGTCCAGGTGCAGCGAGTTCCAATCTTAGTCTCAGACTTGGACAACGGTTTACATCTAAGGATTATATAGGTATATAGATATGGTAGCAGTATAAGAGTCACTTTCTAATTAAACCATACATCTATAAACTACTTAAATGGGTTCACACATGCACACACACCCCAAGATATGAATGTATGCATATACATAAAGGTATGCCTGTTAAAAATTCCCCTCGAGTTCAGTGAAATACTGATGTCGAATGTCTTGGCATTTCTCAACGGGTGAGGGTTGAGCATGGGCTGAGTCTCCATGGACTGCAGCTCCTTCCCGGAATAGCCACCTGCTCCAGGGTTGGGCTCTCCATGCACTGCAGTGGGAATACCTGCTCCAGCGTGATGTCTCCGCGGGCTGCAGGGGAATACCTGCTCCATCATGGATTCTTCCCAAATTTCCCTGAGCTGCAGGGGACTCTCTGCTCTGGAGACCAGAACCCGCTTTGTACAGAGGCCACCTCTGCAGTCTCCCTGCCTCCAGTTCCCAAAACTTTTCAACATAAGCCCAACACAACTGGTAACTGCAATTTGACCATTAGGGCACAGGCAGCACCCAATATTTTTCACAACAGGACTGAGAAAAGGTTTTCCTCTCCCCTCAGCCTGACAAAGTTTAACCAAGACAGGTGGGAAAACATGAAATAAACCAAAAGGGAAGCGCAGATGGTGTCAGGATCAGTCCGGGCACAATTTATTACAAATGTTTGGTGTAACACTTCCTTGTTCCAGGAGACCTTCAGGCATTTAGTCACCTGCTTTTTCTTCATTCTCCACAGCAGATTTTTTCCACAGACACCTTATCTCTGCTCCTTTCGATTCATGATGAGAGCCCCGTCTAGGATCCAGCTGCAGCTGATGTGTGAAACAGATGAAACTCAACGTAAAGTGGTGAAGGTTTCTTCTAGGACCAGTGTTGAGCGTTACCTCTGCCAGGACTTAGTGGCAGCAAGAAGGGCCAGGTTCTAGGTCAAGGGGGGTGGCAATCCAACACAACCCTTTGGTTTAAGCTCCACTTGGAAAGTTGTATTATGCTTTCAGGTGCTGGGAGAACCGAACACGCTCCTGACAAACAGTGTTGCAACGTAAAAGGGAGCAGAGAACTCTAACAGCCTGGAGGGGGGAGCCGTGGCCCCTTTTTGGACTGCAGCAGCACCAACTGATTATTTGTACCCAGCGAGGCAGCTACCGGGCCAGGAGGTGGCTGTCTCCATCCAGTTGTCATAAATGCCCACATTTGCATGGGTGAGGAGTGAAAAAATGCATTGAAATGAGGAGTAAAACCCACATTGAAATGGGAAATAAAAATGGTCATCACCCAACAATGTTCTAATTAAAGAGACAACAGAGGAGACATCCAGGCCGCTACAAGGGCAGAAGCCTATATTCCCTAATGATCATCATGAGGTGAAAGTATTAACTAAAGAGTCAAAGGCTTCTGATGTTCCTCTCTCTATTTTGTAGTTACTGATATCCTAAGGCATTCTAGCTTCTCCTCCTCCCAGCCCTCACCTCTTGGCAGAGAACTTCGATTCTACACCCCACTTGATCCAAAAATTTCCTTTTACAGCGTCTCCAAAGGGATGGGGATTAAGACTGGGCGGATAAGAGGTGTGAGTGCCCCTTCCCTTTTGGATAGAAATGGGTAAAACCTTTCTGCAGGTTCCTTTCCAAGCTGTAGAGGCATTCCCATCATGACACACATCTGCTCGGCATCGTAGAAAGTGACTTGCCCTCCCTCCAAGTCCAGAAGGACACCGATCACTGAATTACTTCTCTGCTGCTTCTCAATCTTGCCGTCACCTTTGATAGAGAAAACCTCTCCCTGGGACCCGTGCAGAGCCCAGTAGTCCTCCCCAGGAAGGGTACCTTCTTCTTCCTGGCTCTCTTTCTCCCTCAGCACCCCCAGCACCCAGTCGTGCTGCTGGCCCACCTCCACCTCCCAGTAGTGTTTCCCAGCTGCAAACCCTTCCTTTCCCACCAGGACAGGGACTGGGGAGGGAGCATTCGGGCCAGCAGGTTCAGACGCGTTGCTCTCCACAGCCGGAGCCCCTGGCACCCGGAGCTCCAGCACTCGGCAGTCAGGAGTCACAGCAATGGGAACTGGAGGGGAAAATGAGAATCACTCCATGAGCAGAGTGGCTCTGCTCATGCGGGGACAGCTCTGCACAGAGCTATGGGTTGAAGCGTTGCAGGGTCTGAGCAGTCCTGGCATAGTTCAGCACAGAAACTAAACCTTTTCCAGAACTGGGCCTGCAGTCACTGATGAACTGAGAGGCACCTTGGAGCTGTCACAGCCGTGTCCCCTCTTGGCATGCAAGTCCACACGCTTCACAGTAAATCCCTCTTTCTCTTTTCCGTATGGCCATCCATCCTCTCCAGAATTGTGTCCACACCCCACCCCAGACCTTGACACTGTTCAGCAACTCCTTTCCCCCATCTTTCCAACTGCCACATCCTGTTAACCAGGCCTGGCACATTCCCCTGACTCCAGCTTAGTCGGTGTATCCCTAAAATCATGGCCTTGTCATTTCTGGGTGACTGGCATTGTCATTTCAAGGTAGCTTGGAGAGACGGACTTTGCCTTTTCATAGAATCATAGAATGGTTTGGGTTGGAAGGGATCTTTAGGGTCACCCAGTCCAACCCCCCCCTGCAGTGAGCAGGGACATCTTTAACTGGATCAGGTTGCTCAGAGCCCCGACAAACCCATCCTTGAATGTTTCTGTGGATGGAGCCTCCACTACCCCCCTGGGCAACCCATTCCTCCTGCCAGCTTACCTGCATGGCTCCGGGCTTCCCAGAAACCTACAGAAGGAAAAATGGACAACACTGTATTATTTTTTTTAGGGCAGTTAGATACTTCTCAGACTGAAATAGCGAGAAGTCTCCTAGTGTGCAATTCCTGTCATCGCTGTCAATCTGCATTGGTGATGACCTTCCCTGGTGAGACCCCACCTGGAGCACTGTGTCCAGTTCTGGGCTCCCCAGTTCAAGAAAGATGAGGAACAGCTAGAGAGAGCCCAGAGGAGGGCTACAAAGATGAGGAGGGAACTGGAGCATCTCCCCTACAAGGAAAGGCTGAAGGAGCTGAGCTAGTTTAGCCTGGAGAAGAGAAGGCTAGGAGGGGATCTCATCAACACATACAAATATCTGAAGGGTGGGCATCATGAGGACAGAACCAGACTCTTATCAGTGGTGCCCAGTGCCAGGACAAGGGGCAATGGGCACAAACTGAAACATAAGAGGTTCCAGTTGAACATGAGGAAGAACTTGTTTACTTTGAGGGTGACTGATCCCTGGACCAGGCTGACCAGGGGGCTGTGGAGTCTCCTTCTTTGGAGATATTCAACCCCTGCCTGGACGATGTCCACCCTGCTCTGGGTGAGCCTGCTTGAGCAGGGGGGGTGGGACTGGGTGACCTCTGGAGGGGCCTTCCAACCCTTGCCATTCTGTGATTCCTCCTCTTAACCCACCAATACTTCTAATTCCTCGCATTTTTAAGTCACTTACCCAGCTCTGCTTTCAGTTGGCCTGAAAGGGAAAGACAACCCAGTTACTAACATTTATCTGCTTTGCCTTTTTTGTTCGTTTTTCAAAATAGGACCCCTCCCTTCCCCCCACCACGGAATAGGACTGTATTCCTTTCCATAGGTTGCTTAGGGACAGGGTTTAGTGGTGGGAAGGCAGGGTTGGGTTAATGGTTGGACTTCATGATCTTAAAGGTCTTTTCCAAACTAAACGATTCTATGCTTCTATGATATTTCATTACATTTCTTGGTTTCACATCCAGTGATCACGTAAACATACTAACCCGATAGATGTATCTTACCACTTCTACCCTTGGCAAAGAATGTCGGGTTTACGTCAAATGCATTTTCTTACCAAAACGTTTTTTGAGTTTGGATTTGGCTGAAAAAGGAATAGCACAAGTGAGAGAGGTAAAAACTCAAGCAAAAATGAAGAAAACATTTGTGAGAAGGACATTAGAATTACGCCTCCAGCTGTCCTGCACGGGAACAGTGCATATGCTTATGTGGGGGATTTCTGTCATTAAATTTGCAGGACGAAAGCTGTTGCCATTTTTCTTTGGTGGCAAGGGAAGACGGGAAGGAGAGAATGAGAAAGCTAAGCTGAGAGTTTGGGTTCTGTGTGATTTGCAGTTATGGCCAGGTGAAACGTGGTGCTCAGGGACATGGTTTAGTGGTGGATTTGGAGGTATTAATGGTTGGACTCAATGATCCTAAAGGCCTTTTCCAGGCTAAATGGTTCTACGAAACAACAAGGGAGAGAAAAAACCTCAGATAGAGCCCTGAGAGTCAGTGGACCATCCTCAGGCCTAAGGCACAATGCATCCTGCACATGTAGGTAGAGAAGTGAATATCATTGTCCTCTCTGCATTGTAATCACCTCTAATAACATTCCTGAGAAGTCATTTTACATAAAAGCAAGCTATTAAACAGAGTGGCTTATTATGAAGAGCAGCTGAAGGAGCTGGGGGGGTTCAGCCTGGAGAAGAGGAGGCTGAGGGGAGACCTTATCGCCCTCTACAACTGCCTGACTGGAGGCTGTAGTGAGGTGGGGGTCGGCCTCTTCTCCCTGGTAACAGGTGATGGGATGAGGGAAATGGTCTGAAGTTGTGCCAGGGCAGGGTTAGGTTGGACATCAGGAAAAATTTCTTCACAGAAAGGGTTCTCAGGCACTGGAAGGGGCTTCCCAGGGAAGGGGTTGAGTCCCCATCCCTGGGGGTATTTAAAAGCTGGGCAGACGCGGTGCTTAGGGATAGGGTTTAGTGTTGGGATGGCAGGGTTATGTTAACGGTTGGACTTGATGATCTTAAAGGGCTTTTCCAACCCAAATGATTCTATGATTCTGTGATTTTAACTGCAGCTGGATGGTGAAAATTCTCAGTGAATATTTTAGGAAAATGAGATTTACCTGCTCGACGTTTGGCTTTTTCTCCCTCTGAAAAGTTCAGCACATAGAATAAAAGAAACAATTTATCAGAGTATTTATTGGATAGAAACTGGAAGTTAAAAGTTTGTGGACTTCTGTACTGCATACCATAAAGCCTCTAATCCTGTGTCATTTCTGTGGGAAACGTGTCCTTCCAACACACTTGCTACTAGGTTGGTTTACAGCTAAGCAGGCACACAAAAAAAATCTACATAAAGCCTTTCTTTTCAGAAAAAAACCCTAAAAAGTAAATATCTCTGACTCTGCCTGGAGTTTTTCCCATGAAAATGGTTCGATTCAGCTGAGCCTTGCATTTCATTTTAAATGCTTAACCAGAGAGAGTCCAGAGGAGAGCAACAAAGATGATGAGGGGACTGGAGCATTTCCCCTACGAGGAAAGGCAGAGGGAGCTGGGCTTGTTTAGCCTGGAGAAGAGAAGGCTAAGAGGGGATCTCATCAACACGTACAAATATCTCAAGGGTGGATGTCACGAGGACAGAGCCAGACTCTTCTCGGTGGTGCCCAGCATCAGGACAAGGGGCAATGGGCACAACCTGAAGCAGAAGAGGTTCCACTTGAATGTGAGGAAGAACTTGTTTACTTTGAGGGTGACAGAGCCCTGGCGCAGGCTGCCCAGGGGTGCTGTGGAGTCTCCTTCTCTGGAGATATTAACCCCCGCCTGGACGATATCCTGTGCATCCTGCTGTGGGTGATCCTGCTTGAGCAGGGGGGTTGGACTGGGTGATCTCCTGAGGCCCCTTCCAACCCCTGCCATTCTGTGGTTACAAACCCAGTAATCAGACCAGAACAAACCAACCACAGCCCAGAAAAAAACCCAGAGTGGACGTAACTGTAGCACAAAGTCTATAAAACACAATGAACAACAAAAGCATCTTACCTAACATTGACTTCAGCTTTTTCTTTTCTAGAAAAGAGAGCACACAGATATCAGTGTCAGCTTTTTGATGGAGTGGCTTAATGCATTCAACAATACCAAAATACGAACCGCATAACCATATAGCAAGTATGTCCTTGGATTACACAGTCATCTGCTTTGAGTTAAGTACATGTAAACCCAATTCAGCAATTTAGCCTGTGAACGTATCACATTATTTCAACTTTAGGTAGCTCATTAAGTTATTATTTAAAGACTCATGAAGCAGGGTGGGGACAAGACATATTTGTATTGCTGGCAGAGGTCTTCTTTCAAAGCCTGCTTAGATGATGCTTTAATTGACTGCATTTAAGGGGAATATTCAGCTGCATAGGTACCTAAGAGCATTTGGGATGCCCTGGGGTACCCCAAGTGGCATGTAGGTGTCTCTAAAAGATCTCTGAGCTGCTACAGAAGCTCTGTACAGTTCACGTTGTATCTGTCAGACACAATCAGAGATCCATGAGGTATCTGCTTCCTTCCAGGATAGCAGCATAAGTGGGATGACCAAGGGCATCGCAAGTGAGCCAAGGCACTTGTATGTACACACGTGGACTGAGCCATAGGCCCCTGAGCTCCTGGTGGAGATCCCTAAATGAAGTTCACAGGGTTTACAGGGCCACTCAGCTGCCTAAAGGTAGTTCTGAATAATCTTGAAAAAAAGACAGAAGAGTGGTCTCCGTGAGGAGAAGGAGTGTTGGAAGCTGGCTAAGAGCTTCCCACCCAACAGCAGAGATTTGGCTTGAGTTTTCAAAAAGGTCTGTGCTGGGCCATGCAACTCCTTTGTGACTGTAATTTGCAGTCTTCACTAGAGAATAGACCTCATGTGAGATAGGATGTGTGGTTGTCAGTGTTTCCTTAGTATCGAAAAGGCCTGCCACTCCAGCAATTACTATATCGATAATCAATGTTCAAATACTGTTTCCCTGAATTTATGTCATCGAGATCTCTGAACACCTTAGTATCATTTCACATGCAAAGGACTTTTACCTTCTTCCAGTCCCATCTTCACTTTTACTGAAAGACAAAGAAAATGAATCTTACCGTTAATTACTCTTGAAAGCTTTCCTTGTCACACAACCGTGTACTTTATGTAAAAATAAAAATAAGGGTTTTCTAAAACTTTAATTTAATTTAACTTAATAAACTTCCCAAGGCTTTTTCTTAGTCCAATAAATTCTTCTTATCATAGAACCATAAAATCACAGAATCGTTGAGGTTGGAAAAGACCTTTAAGCTCATCAAGCCCAACTATTCCCCTAACCCTGCCATCCCACCACTAAACCCTGTCCCTAAGCACCTCATCTGCCTGGCTTTTAAATACCCCTATGGATGGGGACTCAACCCTTTCCCTGGGCAGGCCATTCCAGAGCCTGACAACCCTTTCGGGGAAGGAATTTTTCTTCATGTCCAACCTAAACCTCTCCTGGCGCAACCTGAGACCATTTTCCCTTGTCCCATCACCCATTACCTGGGAGAAGAGACTGGCCCCCCTCACTCCCCCCTCCTGTCAGGCAGTTGTAGGGAGCGATAAGGGCTCCCCTCAGCCTCCTCTTCTCCAGGCTGAACACCCCCAGCTCCCTCAGTTGCTCTGTGCCAAGACACGTCTCATTTCTAATGGAGTTCACAATAAATGAGGCAGCTTTTTGAGAGACCCAGTCCTTCCTAGGTGAGTCTTGTCCCAAGCATAGCCTAAATGAGGTTCAGAGAGCAGGATTAAATCGCCTCTGGCCCCACAGACATGTGTATCCTCAGCTGCCAAACCTGGCCAGGGAACAGAACCAGATGTGCCTCAAAGAATAAAGTTGGTCATGCAATTCATTTGTTAAAGTAACCCCTGCAATGGTTATGGCATGGGTCAGTTAGTGCTCTCCCAAATAATAAGCAGGTATTGTCTAGGTGACGTCATGAGCTGAGGGCCATGGCCAGTAGATGGCTTGACTGTGGAGACTCTGTCCTGTGCAAAGTTCAGCACAATCCACATGAGCTACGCCATGCCCCTCCCAGTGGGGAGGCATGGGAGGGGGTTTGGCCATGATGTGGGGCAGTGGGGTTGGACTAGATCATCTTTAAAGGCCCCTTCCAACCCAAACAATCCTATGATTTTATGCCAACTGGTCCATTTTATCTTCGAAGACCTAGGTGGTGCGTACCAAACAGATTTGTATTAAAAAGTTGCTTTCAGAGTCATGTGAGATGCCCTTGGGTTGGGTCCTCGAATTGCTCTTAACTGTTTGGTTAATTCATTTAGTTCTTCCTCTTCTAAAGAACCTGAGGAATGCTTCTGGTCAATGAATTAACTCTTGAACAATTGCAAACAAAGCTTGAATGCATATGGCATGGTAGAGGACATCAGTCATCGTAGAGTAATGACTGGAGCTTGATGAAAGAAGGAAACTTTATAAAGCACAAACGAAAAAAAACCCTCATACAGGAACTTACTACAGTGTACAGTGCAAAAATAAAATTAAAAGCTACAAAACATTTGGATGCAACTAGAACTGCTCATTAGTTCTGCAATTGGATGTAAATAAACCTTCTGACTTACAGTCATGATCTTCATATTCATCTTCTTCATTACTTACCTGAGCTAACACTTTTCTTGTGACTACCTGGTTAAAAAAAGAGCAAATACTCGCATTTTTTCCCATGTCTTTGTGGACTCATACTGACAGAAATCACTTCTCTGATTTTTCCATTTAAACTCCAGTGTCATCAGCAGCTGTCTGGAGTTACCTCCCCAATGATTATAGAAAGGTAACTACACACGTCGTTTGGCTCCCAGAGCTCCTCTTGTCAGGCCTAAAGCCTTCTGAGGTAAGGACATGCAATTTCCACTCCTCCTTGTTCCACTTTCCCACCCCTTTTTTCTTCCATTTCCTGAATTCAGCCATTAAAACAATCACCGGTGATTTTGCATGTGAGCTTTTGTTACGGTGGTGGATTCTGGTATGAACCGTTGTGACATTTCTATACGTTGACTGAGATAACATGCAAATAAATACTTACTTCTCAGCTTAGAGAATATAGCACAAATTAGGATCATGCTAAGACATAAAATTACCAGGAAGCTCATCAGCCATTTTGAAATGGAGGGAAAGAAAATATCTGTAAAAATGACCAAAAGGAGTCAATTAATGATTAAGCATAAAGTCCATTATAACTTAGGATGCGGGCAAGACATCTAAGGAGATGGTGAATTTGTATTTCACTTGAATTTTGCTAGGAATGTTGCTGAAGAAGAAGTCCAGCCCTCCCGGGCAGGACTGATCCTTGAAGACTCTTTCTCTGGTTATCAGATTCAGAATTATGAGAGGTCTGAGATAGGTAGACAGGTTTCCACAGTTCACGAGGCACAAGAAAGGCAGCAATACCAGCTCCCAGTTTTTTTCACGGATGCGTTACATTTCCTACTAAACCGAGCAGGTGATGGAATGAAGGAGGAAACCATCACTGCTGGACAAGAGAGACACATCCACTCTTGTTTAATTTGATTCAGTGAATATCTGATTCATCCCGCTGAGTACAGTGCCTATGCCAAGGAGAGTAAGATTTAAGACATTCTCCACGTTGACTGTTTCCTATTTTCTCTTTCCAGGTACCTCCACACTCAATGTTCTGGGATTTCTTCTCAGTGGTGCCCAGTGCCAGGACAAGGGGCAACGGGCACAAACTGAAGCAGAAGAGGTTCCACTTGAACGTGAGGAAGAACTTCTTGACTTTGAGGGTGACTGAGCCCTGGCACAGGCTGCCCAGGGGGATTGTGGAGTCTCCTTCTCTGGAGATATTAACCCCCGCCTGGACAATGTCCTGTTCACTCTGCTCCGGGTGATCCTGCTTGAGCAGGGGTGGTTGGACTGGGTGATCTCTGGAGGCCCCTGCCATTCTGGGAGTCTGTGATTCTGTGATTCTTGACGCCATCCCAAAAGGGTCTTCCCTCACACACTCAGTTCCCATTCCAGACCTAGATCTTGGCTTTGTGGTGCTGAGGTTCTTTTTGGCGTCCAGCCCTATGAGACTTGCTTCAGAATATCTCTTTGTCTATACACCCAACAAACAGAAATGTCTAAAGTTCTACAGAGTACAGAGAGGCATGGCATTACCCACAGCACAATTACATGGTAATGCACATACTAGAAAGAGGGAAGATCAAAACCTAGACTAAATACATTTTTGAGATGCTGAAAGTATTGCTTTATCTCCTGCAACTGTAACTATTGTGTTCAGCTATGCTCTGCGAAACCCACTAGCGTGCATCTTATTCAATGCCCTGGTAACCTGTTTCTGGATAACAAAAGCCTTTAGAGCTGTACTGGGTTTGTGTGGCAAGGTCTTGGTAGTGGGGGGGCTACACGGGTAGCTTCTGTGAGAAGCTGCCAGAAGTTTTCCCTGTGTCCACTGCTGGCCAAGGGCAAGCCAATAAGTAACAGTGGTAGTGCCTCTGGGATAACATATTTAAGAAGGGAAAAACCCCTTCTGCGGCTCAGTAGTGGGAGAGAGAAGAGAAGTGAGAGGAATTGAGAGAAAACATCCCTGCAGACACCAAGGTCAGTGAAGACGGAGGGGTAGGAGGTGGTCCAGGTGCCAGAGCAAAGATTCCCCTGCAGCCCATGGTGAAGACCATGGTGAGGCAGGCTGTCCCCCTGCAGCCCATGGAGGTCCACAGGGCAGCACATCTCTACCTGCAGCCTGTGGGGGACCCCACGCCGGAGCGGGTGGATGCCTGAAGGAAGGAGGCTGTTACCCTGTGGGAAGCCTGTGCCAGATCAGGTTCTTGGCAAGACTTTGCGGACCCATAGGGGGAGGAGCCCATACCAGGGCAAGTTTGTTGGCAGGACTTGTGACCCTGTGGGGACTCACACTGGAGTTGTCCGCCTCTGAGGGACTGCACCCCATGGAAACTATGGACCCACGCTGGAGCAGTTTGTGAAGAACTGTAGCCCATGGGAAGGACTCACATTGGAGAAGTTTGTGGAGGACTGTCTCCTGTGAGAGGGACCCCATGCTGGAGCAGGGCAAGAGTCCTCTCCGAGGAAGAAGAAGCAGCAGAGACAACATGTGATGAACAGACCCCAACGTCCATTCCCATCCCCCTGTGCCACTGTGGGGGAGGAAGTAGAGAAATCTGGGAATGAAGTTGAGCCCTGGAAGAAGGGAGGGTTGGGGGGCCAGTGTTTTAAGATTTAGCAGTTTTTATCCTCTCCTATTCTGATTTTGAGTGGTGATAAATTAAATGAATTTCATCAAGTTGATGATGGTAACTGACAATTGATCTCTCCCTGTCCTTATCTCGACCCACAAGCCCTTTGATTTACGTTTCTCTCCCCTGTCCAGTTAAAGAGGGGAGTGGTAGAGCGGCTTTGGTGGGCCCCTGGCATCCAGCCAGGGCCAACCCACCACAAAAGAGTTTGACTGTCACAAAGGAAATACGTTATTTTTGTACGGGCATGCAGTTGCATTCTTAATCCATTTTAATACCTCTCCAACAAGTTGACGGCCTTAAATTTGAAGAAGGGAACGCAGAAAGTCTTGATCCTACCCGACCCTTTTCTAAAAGGAGAAACTGATTCTCTGGGTGCTGTTGAAGGCTACTAGAAATAAAGGTGGAAGAAGGCTGCTGCTTTCATGAACTTTTTTCCAACACTGCTTCCGGGAATACATCTCCAGACCAGGTCACGACAGAAAAATGGGACCCATGCCATTTAGACAGCCTGTCTTTTTAATCTTACCAGCAGGTGACTTCTGAGCTCACCCACCTGAGATCAGGACTCGGGACTCGCTGGTTGTATTTAGCAGATCGTTGACTATCCTGCAGGAGACTTCCATGTCAGAGCCCGGTTTTAGGTTCATGAATGTTACGATGCTGTATAGGCCTGCAGGCATCGTTGTCATCTTTGTGGTCGATATCTCCTTCCGGACCTGTCCTTGGCCATCCAGCCATATCACCTCAGGTTTAGGAAACCATCCAGCTGCACGGCAGGCGAGGCCAATGCCCTGCTTCATGTGACGCCTCAGGAAAATGGAAGGTGCGCCACCTTTAGCTAAGAAAAAGCATAAGTGTTCTCCATGTCAACCAATACTGAGAACGGGAAAGTGGCTGGTTTGTTTTGAATTCAACGCTTCTTTTTTTTCTTAGATCTATTTATATGGAAGTACACGGGAAGGCTTTTCAGAATTTAAGCTGACAGAGACTGGGGCCCTGAAGTTTCTTAATGGTCAGCAATTCATAGTCTATGCGACTGAGAATAAGGAACAATTTAATGAAGATGACAGAAAACAGAGCTAGCTGGGGATGGCGATTCTGGAATGAAGTTGCTGGTGGAATTTCCCAGAATTGTGTAAAAAAATGAAAAAAAAAACCCCATATAATTATGATGATTAATGGATTACAGGAAGCCTATGAACAACTAGTGCAATCTGTCCGTGAAAACAGAATGTATTAGTGCCTCAGGCTAATCATTTCAAGCAAAACTCTTACTGATGTGGTACAGACACAGTCTACAGTTAAAAAAAATTGTGTTGTTTATACTCAGGATCTGAGACGACTAAATTACAGTGCCACTTAGAAGTTAAACCTTTAATTCATCTGGAGTTTTAAAGCTAAGACGGCATCTTCCGAAGAATCTGTCTGCAATGTGAAATGCCGCAATAGCTATGTAGCAGAAAATGGTTCCTGTGTAGCAGGGAACACTTGTCCCCTTCACATCCAACCACATTAACCGAAGCTACCCATGAAGACGGTATCTATTAATGTACTGAAATAGGCCTAGGAGCCTGAACTTTCTGAGTGGGCTTTCACTGAGTATGAAGGGAGGTTGTGCTCTCACCTCACCTACAGCCGCTTCTAAGTAAAGGTATCTCAAACGAGAACTAAAACTTACGTCAATATCAGTTGCAGCCACTAATTTAGAGAAAACGAACTTGAATCAAACACATCCCCCCATAAAGCCATTTTACGTGTGAAATTATATTAAATTTATATTGTAATTCCCTCAGTCAGTGATGGAGATACATGTTTCTGTTCAGCTCCGTCTTTGGATGAAAAGAGAGGTAATTGCCACTGACCTGTCACTTGCAGCTCAACCAATACCTCATGGTACGTGTCATCAAAAGAGACCACACATGTGTAGGATCCTTTGTCAGAGCTCCTGACGTTCTTCAAGTGCAGAGACATGTTGCCAGCTCTAAATTCACCGTGGAAGAACTCCGTTCTACCTTGATATCGCTCAGCTTGTTTCACCTCTTTATTCTTGCCGTCATATCTGCTCACAGTTATTTTTTGAGACTGTTCGTGAAATATCCACTGGACAGAGAATACCTCGGGAATGTTATCTGCTACCACATGGCAGGGCAGAACAACCCCTTCTCCAATGACTCCAATGATGGAAATATTAGGAGGAGAGCTAATAAATTGACCTGTGTAAAGATAAATGGCAGTTGTTTCTCTGTATCACATTTTTTGGTGGCATTACATCAGGCAACCAATAGAACCAATATCACTGTCATAAGGAGAGGAATCCAGAAGAAAACAGAAAAACAACATGGCAGATTACTTAGAGGAGTGGTGTTCACATGATGAGGGGCTCATGGAGTTTATCCTTCAGCATAAGTTCAATTTATTCATCAATGACCTGGATGAGGGGGCAGAGTGGATCCTCAGCAAGTTTGCTGATGACACAAAACTGGGAGGAGTGGATGATATGCAGGAAGGCTGTGCTGCCATTCAGTGGGACGTGGACAGGCTGGAGAGTTGGGAGTAGAGGAACCATTGTCCCATCACCTGTTACCTGGCAGCAAAGACCAACACTCCCCCCCCCTCCTCCAGCTCCGCCTCCTGTCAGGCAGTTGTAGGGAGCGATAAGGTTTCCCCTCAGCCTCCTCTTCTCCAGGCTGAACCCCCCCAGCTCCCCCAGACGGTCCCCAGCAGCCTGGGGCTCCAGACCCCTCCCCAGCTCCCCTGCCCTTCTCTGGACATGCTCCAGCCCCTCCAGGTCCTTCTGGGAGTCAGGGGCC